TTTTTGGAATTGCCAGAATAATATCATCCACATATCTATAATATAGTGGAATGTTAAAATTTAATTTCGAAATCACATCCTTCTCCAGGTCCTGTACTACAATGTCAGCTAAAATGGGAGATAGAGGAGAACCCATAGGCATGCCAAAAATTTGCTTAAAATAACTATTGTCAAATTTGAAATATGTGGAGTTAAATATTAATGAAATGGCTTTAAAAAATTCATCCTTAGGTATTTTTGTGTTAATTGAGATGGCATTCCATCTTGCATCAATACTTTTTATAACTAATTCTTCCGGAATATTTGTATACATCGATACAATATCGAACGATACAATTTCATGTTCCTCGTTAATAGATAATCCATTAAGTTTGTTAACAAATTCAAAACTATTTTTAATATGACTAAATTCCTTTTTAAGACTTTTATCAATAATATTTTTTATGGACATAGCCAGCGAATATAAAGGACTGTTAATACAACTAATAATTATTCTCAATGGATTGTCTTCTTTATGTACCTTTGGCAGCCCATAAGTCCTCGGTACATTTCCATCAGTAACATTAAGCATTCTATATACCGATTGGTCAATATAATTCAATTTTTTCCACCTCCTCAAAAGTTTATGCGTCTGATTCGTCATCATTGTTGTCGGATCTTTGTTAATTTTGATGTAAGTATTTATATCAGACAACAATTTGTTCATTTTTTCTTTGTAATCGCGAACATTCATTATTACCGTCGAATTTCCTTTATCCGCCCTGGTGAATAACAATTCAGGATGAGAATTAATAAAAGTTTTAGTAGCAATCATTCCTTTTTTTAGAATGCTTTCTTGTGAATTAGTTTTATTATCATCTAGGTTACTTTTTAAAATATGAATAGCATCATTTCTTATGGAGTTACGTGAATTTTCGTCTAATTTAGTAATATTATATTCAATTTGTTTTACAAACTCAATGTTTATTTTATCTTTGTTTATTAAATTATTTTTTAAAGCCATTTCATTAATATTTAACTCCACATATTTCAAATTTGACAATAGTTATTTTAAGCAAATTTTTGGCATGCCTATGGGTTCTCCTCTATCTCCCATTTTAGCTGACATTGTAGTACAGGACCTGGAGAAGGATGTGATTTCTAAATTAAATAGTTCTCTTTAGAATTATCATTCACCTGAGTGGTTATTTTTTTAATATGAGATGGAGTGAATTTATAATTAAATTCGGAAGAGTTCGACCATACAATATTGAAATGTATGGGTTTGATTCTTTCCTTCTTTAATAGAGATGTTGACTTTCTTAAATTTATTAACTTGTTATTCATACTATTATAACCTTTGAGCCATAGTTTGTTAAAAGTACTTTCCTGTCTACTAAAAAAGGAAAAAGCAACCCGACTAGGTAAAGAACTAGTAAAGTAGTAAGTGAGCAGCTATGGGCCGTCAAAACAAATCCCCTCCACTCGACCTCTGGCGCCAGGTGGACGTGGCCTAGACGGGTCTGTCAGGAAAAATGGTGCGCTCTGATTGGTCGGTGACGTGAGGGTGGGATAACGAGGTAATTAAATGTCGCGTTTTGATTGGCTCGGCTCATAGCTGCCCACACGCTGATTGGCTCGGTCCATAGCTGCCCGTGCGACGATTGGAGAGGATGGGAGTGTCGGCAGAGAAGAATACCACTGTAAAATGACGGATGGTAAAGACCGAGGAAAAATGGGGCCGAGAATTTTGTGCGTTACGGAGGGAGAGGGGGAAGGTACGGTCAGCGAACATGAATAGCATACAGCTTTTGTCCTGCAGGCCATTTTTTTGCTGCAGCGGTTCGATGTCTCCAACGTGTTGACGTCTTAGTGTGAAAGCGTTTTTCTTATTATTTATGACGAGGACTTTTACGAGAATTTTCGGGAGACTCTTGCTTTCAATAGGGAGAAAGGGGAGGTAAAACAGGAATGAACAAGTTTGTGTCAGTATGCGTCATCTTCTTCTTATCTGCTGTGTTGATTTACTTACTTTAGAGAATAAGTTCTTTCTGTATTCTACGACGGAGATGCTTTTTAATAGGACAAAAATCTATCTTATTTAAACCTGAAATGTTGGGAGCACGAGGATACGAGATTGAAATAGTCAAGAATTTAAGATACAAAGAATTTGTTTATTGATAATGTGATGCTACATTAATGAATGACTTATTACATAAAAAGTATGATATATAAAATCATAATCCGCAGTTGGTTAAAACTATGTTAACAATTTCATTGAATTTTAGTTCGGTTAATTCTAAAAACAATATATTAAAGTATGTTTCTAGAAATGTCAAATTGTTTATTTGTGTTCTCACAGTGCGTTCAATGGCTTCTTTGTTGCCTCGGAAAACGAGTCTGATGATTTCAGCGTCGATGAAGGGATTAGTCAGAAGTTCTATCTCCTTGATCAAATATCGTGCGCACTCGTTAACGTTGTCGATAACAGACGTTAGCTGGTTTACATGCGCATCGACACATTTGATTACTCTCTCCATTCCTTGAAATGTAGCTTGCTGCATTACAATTGCGACGGAGTAAGATTTTCTTTTCTTCGTCGGTGGTTGTGCTGACTCTGCCTGTGTATTTGCGGATGAAACTTCCTTTGGAACATTTTCATTTTCCTTGTGCGTCACCAGAATAGCTTTCGCACCGTAGGCGGAGGTGAAGCTAACGAATATGTTTGCGAATGAGATAGGATTTACTTTGGTTTTGCTGCTTTCGCTTAGGTACGTGCTCATGAGTCCCATATTCTCTTGAAATTGTTTCCACGTGTTCGAATCGAAGTTGATTCCTTCTGCGTAATTGCCAGTCAATTTGACGATAGGTTCGAAGATTCCCTCCTTCGTTGATTGTAATCCCACGTGTAATTTCTTCGTATGAGAAGAGTTGAGAGGGTACGTCGTAGAAAGTAACAAATATTGTTGCATATTTCGTTCGGTAATATTGTTTATC